GGGGTCTCGCTCTTGCTCAGGCTGGTCTAGAACTCCTGAGCTCAAATAATCCACCCGCCTCGGCCTCCCAGAGTGCTAGGATTACAGGCGTGAGCCACCACGCCCGGCCATAACTGGCTGCTTTTAAGATTTATACTAGCTGTGGATTTTAAAGTTACTTGTTTAATTTATTTTGTTATAAGTAGAAGCAAGAAAACCATTAATGGTCCCAGTGAGGGGTGATGGGGTTTGGCATCAGTGGTAGCAATGGGGATGAAGTTAAGTGGGTTGACTCTAGATATGGCTTGAATCAGAAACAACAGAACTTGCTGGTTAAGTAGGGGAGAGATGGGGGATCTGAGGTTTTGGTTTGTGAAACCATGTACTTAGTAAAAAAAAATTAGATGAAAAACAGATTGGGGCTTTTTTGAATATGTCAAGTGTGAGGTGCAAAGCTAGGTGGGAATGTTGACTTCCGACTTAATGAAGTCCGCTATAAACTTGAGGGAAGAATTGCGTCCCTCACCTTTGTTCCCCCGAAGCCTAGTGCCACTCCTGATCGTATCACACAGTGACTGTTTTTGAGTCGGAGGACGGCTGTTTGTGTCCAAGTGGAAACTCCTTGAAGACAGCAACTCCATGTCTACACAGTAACTATAAAGGGCTTAGTTATATCAGGCTTTGACTGTGAACAATGTGCAGTGTTGCGACTCTATAGTGAAGGTCACTTTGTAAATGTGATTTTATGTTGAAGATGAGCTCAAAGATGTATTAATAAAACAAACCAACCATCTGTGTGGTCTCACATGAAAGGTGAGGACGCCAGGCACGTTTACAGCCACAAAGGCATGAGACATACGTGGTCCGCACCTGGGCAGTGGAGGCATCGAGCACTTCAGATGCAGTAGGTGGAAGCCAACAGCAAATGGAAGAAATTCCTTCTTAAAAGCAACAGAGAAAAAGAGGACCAAGAGTGGAAGGGGGAGGCCGGGCACGGTGGCTCACGCCTGTAATCCTAGCACTCTGGAAGGCCGAGGTGGGTGGATCACTCAAGGTCAGGAGTTCGAGATCAGCCTGAGCAAGAGCGAGACCCCGTCTCTACTAAAAATACAAAGAAATTATCTAGACAGCTAAAAATATATAGAAAAAATTAGCCGGGCATGGTGGCGTGTGCTTGTAGTCCGAGCTACTTGGGAGGCTGAGGCAGGAGGATCGCTTGAGCCCAGGAGTTTGAGGTTGCTGTGAGCTAGGTTGAAGCCACA